AAGATACCTTCACTTACCCTATCGACACCAACAAATCTTTCCCTGGCTTTCAGAGCTCTACCAACTTACCCTATCGACACCAACAAATCTTTCCCTGGCTTTCAGAGCTCTACCAACTTACCCTATCGACACCAACAAATCTTTCCCTGGCTTTCAGAGCTCTACCACGTTCGTTACTCAACCTTTCATTGTCCTTTAATAATGCCACTAAATGTTTGGATTTTTCCCTGACATTCATTCCTTGGTCTTTATTTTCTTCCATATATTGAAAATCTTTAAGAGTTTGAATAGCAAAGATGTTCTCTCTACACTGTTGGGCAACCTAGAGAGAAATATGTATTAAATCTGCATTACTTAGCTGTTAGAAAAATGTCATTAACAACAGAATTCTCAATAAGAAAAAAAAAAAGATCTGAAAGAAATGGTAAGAACCTTATAACTCAAAGTGCTAAATAATGCATTATTTATTGTATTTTGAACTTGTGCACAACTCTGGAGAAGCTGTCAGGTGAAAATTGTGGTAATAAAACAGATGTTCTGGGATATATTTATTTTATTTACATCAAGACCACAGTCAGCCTACATCAAGTAGCTAGTGGAAGGATTTGATTTGTTTTGAATTTTGCACAAAGCTACACGAGGACTATCTTCACTAGCTGTCACTAATTTAGCAGTGAAAGACTAGAGGGAATGCAGGTAGTCATCACTACCCACCGCCAACTGTTGGGCTACTCTTTTATCAACGAATAGTAGGACTGACCATCACATTATAATGCCCCCATGGCTTAGAGGAAGGGAAAAAAGATTAACGATTGGGTTATGTAAATAGTTTATATGCACAGGAAGTTATAAAATACAAACAATACGAGCAGTAGCATTAGTTTCAAAGTGATTTATCAAGATCAACTGAATTACACTTCCTGTAATTTTTACAGTAAGTGTATGCTGCATTAATGAATTTTTTGTATGCTTTACTTTAAAAGTGCCACCAAAGGAGTATCAACAATGTGCTGGTAAGAGTAATTAACTTACCCGTTCCTTTCCACCATGACAGTTGTTCAAAATCCTACAGTTTTCTTTCAAATAAAAATAATGAAATTGAGTTAAAAGGATGGCAACTATCTGTTGTAGAAACATAAGTATACAAGACGACTTTTCAAAAGTCTTCCACCTTTCGTCTTCAGGTCAGTGTGTTGTGGGTCTTTATAGTATTCTGGTGGATTGTGGAAAACGTGTAATGATTGGTTGGCTTATCCCCGTTTCTGATTGGTGGAGAGACTTCCTGTAGTTTCAGTCAATGATAGCCACAGGTTACTCACCTCTAATCTGGAATCTCTGTTTAGTGCAGGTTTTATTGTGTTAATGTAAAAGTATTCTTTAATTTTTTTCTTGTCTTCCAAAATTTGTCTGTATCAATGATTCTAAGTGGAAGATTTTCAAAACATCATCCTCTACACTTGTGTTTCTACAACAGACAGTTGCCGTCCATTCAACTTAGTTTCATCATAAATACTCTGCCTAAACAATCTATCAAAGAAAATAATCTTTGTAACGAAAAGCTGTAATAAACTTGTTTTAATTATCACTCTCCACGAAAATAAGAATTATCCATAAAAATATGTAAACCTTTTTTGTTACTCCTATAAAAACAGATTTACCCTTAATTTTTGTAAATTTAATTCACAGTGTGTCCAATCTGCTTGAATGTAGTTGTAGAAATAAAACACTGCCAGCTTACACTAGCAATGGTAATGGCAACATTATCAAAATCAGTGGTTCCAATCTAGGAAGCACACACCCTTGAGGGTACCCCAAACATGGCAGGGGGGGGGGGGGTCTGTCAAACTTCACTCCCTGTGAGGTTAGATTCAGATGAGCTTAATCAATGCTATTACAAAATTAACACCAGGCATTTCATGTCATTATATACAGTTCTACTCTCTCTCTTACGACCATGCATATTCACTATAGCTCTGCAGCATAGTTCCCACTGCAAAAGACTACATCTTAAGGTTGTCATGTCCAAAGTACACCACTCTATACACCATGCTTTCCATAATCTATCTAGTATATGAGGACAACAGTTCCCAGTGCCAATTTCAAAGGTTTGATTGCATAGAAATCCACAGGCACTGTGTCTGGCCACTTGACCAGTATGCCTTCATATGGAACAGCATGAATACCCATTTCATTTTCTGGCTGTTTGAAGTATGTGATGGTGGAACTGGAGGTTTGACTGAAAGCCTTATTTTGGTGAACTCATACTCTGTTGGCCTCATTTCCAGACAAAAGATCTTCCTTCATTATTTTGCATACTGTTGCTTGGAACACATAAATGGCTTTTGCCACTGACCTTTGTGTTCATGGATTCTCACCTGTTACAAGATGCAACACTTTGCTTACCATAGCAAGGATACAACTTATTACAAGTCTCTTTCTGGATAGTTCAGGTGCCCCAAGTTGATTCAAGTTCTTTGATTTTCCAATGCCAATAAGTACAATGGATATTCCATCTCAGAAATTCTAAATATCTAATCTGGACACATTTCTATGATCTTAGTTGTTGAATATTTTGTATTTGAAAGAGCTCTTAAGGAATCTTCCCCAAAACCATCAATTTTTAGTGGCACTGCACTATTTGCAATTTTATATCAACTATGGTTGCCACATAACTTTCTGGTTTGTAAATTCAAAATAATTTTAACTTAATATACCCATCCCTCTGTAAACAAATATATGGTCTCAAGTTCATGGTGACCATTTTCTGCAACTAGATTTTCAGATTGAGCACTAACATGATGCAACAATAATGAAAACTATGAGGATGAAAAAAAAACAGTTGCACCCTAAAACATTTTAATATTTTTTTAGGTTTAGGAATATCTTACTCTACATTCAGAAAGTATATGGAGGAAATATTATCAAAATATAATTGAAAAAACAAACTTTATTGTTATGCATAAAAAAAAAAAGGTTAAAAATATATTTGTAACGACATCGGTAATACGTATAATTAAACTGGTCCCCAACTCCCAACATTTAAAATTAGACGGAGCCATACACTGATACAGTTAAGGTTAATTACAAATTAAAATAATAATTATATATTTATTCATGACCCAGGAGAGAAAACCTGGACACTGGTGCTTCTCATGAT